CAGTGCCCGGCCTCCAGGTGAGGTGAACAGGACAGTGCCCGGCCACCAGGTGAGGTGAAAGGCACAGCTCCCTCACATTTAACGGGTACTCTCAACTCCTCTGGATTTTGTCTTATTTCTGAACTTATGATCCTCCTGCCTCAGCAACCCACGTGCCGAGACTAACGCACTACCACACCCATCACACCCCTTTCTGTAGTGATGCCTCAGCAGTTGATGATGAGAACTGAGTCAGAACGAAGGGGCTCAGGGTGCAGCCCACTGTGAATGACCAGAACCCAGCTTCACATCTGAGACAGTCTTGATAATTAGAAGTATTCTCCACTCCCTGTCTCAGATCTGTCTGCCCTGCAAAGGGCTCAAACAGGCATCCAGAGCCTCCCTTCCACTATCTTCCTCTGGTTCTCCCTTCTTCCTAATCTTCTGCTTTTGTGCTTATATAAAAGGTCTCAGGAATACAGAGATGGGGGCTGGAGAGATGAGATAGCTCAGTGGTTAGGCTGCTCTTCCAGGGGACCCAGGTTCAACTCCCAGCACCCACACGGCAGCTCACAACTCCAGTTCCAGGGGATCTAACACCTCACACAGACATACATGCAGGCAAAACACCAATATACATTAAAAAAGAAAAGAAAAGAAAAAAGAAAAAGAAAGAAGAATATAGAGATGGAACTGGATGACTCAGGTTAAGAGCACTGGCTGCTCTTGCAAAGGGCCTGAGTTCAGTTCCCAGCACCCATGTGTCAGCTCCTAACTGCTTATAACTCCTTGAGGGATCAGGTGCTCCTTTGGCATACACATAAAAGAACCCACGGGTGACCCTGTGTGCTTCAACTGATCAGACACAGATTTCCTTCCATCTACTACGTGGTCACCTCAGGGTACAAAGTCAGTGCATCAGCTTGCTGAACACCAACACCAAGGCCGGCGTCTACAGGAACCATAAGCTACAGAGAATAGGAAGGGGCAGGTTAAGGTGAGGCGAGTCAGCAGAGACAGGACCTCTGCAGACAGAAAGAGAATGTTACCTCTTCCCTGATCAATGTGAGCACGGCAGTCTTGTCTGCTTCGCTGAGGCAGATTCCATCCAGGGGGCTCTCACCTCCACAGGCCACAGACACGGGGGCCTTTTCTGACGAGGACTCCAGCAGTCCCTGTGGGACAGGGTTATACTTAACATGGTTGGTCTCCAGCTTAACCCTGAGTATACCTCAGCAACCTCCTCACCACAGACCACACCCTTTATGAATGTGCTTGCAGAAGCAGGAGAAAGGCAGCTTTAAGCCAGCAATCTCGTTGCAGGACTAACTAAAGGAAGGGGTGCTAGTGACTACTCGGGTCAGCGTATGCTGGAGGAACAGATAACCCAAGAGAGCTTTCCTCTTTCGCGAAGGAGAAGAGTATAATTGTCAAGTGGTTGGTTACCATAGAGTCCCAGGCGGAAAAGAAACATGCCCCAATACTTCATTTTTTCTGGTATTTTCTGGGGATATGTCTTATGCAAATAATTTTTCAAGAAGAGCGAGAACCCTTCAATCCACATACGGATGCTTGTATCTCTGTTTAACTGCTGTGGCAACGATTCTAACATGGCAAATCTATCTGACCTTTGACCTTCATCTTTCCCGCTCAGTGACTCAGGCTCACCAAGGACTTCAGCCGCTGTGAGGACCTCAAGTACACACCCATATTAACCCTTACACAAAGAGGCTGGATTCAACATAAAATCTGTGCTTAAGTCAGGTCTTTGGGAGCAGAGGGGCTAATGGGCAGTTCAGCTCTGCAGCTACATCGGTAGTTCCTTCCTGGTGGCCTCTGGTCTTCTGGTGATCAGCTTCCTTCCAGGACAGCTGCAGTTCTAAAGAGCCATATTTAGTTGGCATTTTGTTGTTCCCCAAAGCATTTTTTTTTAAAGAAGCAATTTCCTCAAACCTAGGAAAATGAGTTTTTTTGCATATGTGTAACCTAACAACCAAAATGCCAGCCAAAGTGACCCTGGAAACAATCTCAGCCTCCGAGTGTGAGCGAGCAGATCCGAGAAGTTACTGTCTGGCCAACAGTCTGTTTCCTGCAGTCTTTTTTAAATGGGGACCAAACAGAAAATCTGATGACAACTTCGACCAACGGCTTTAAAACTTTCTGGGCCATCCTGGCCTCCGCCTCTCTCCAAATGCTCAAAAGACACATGTAATTTTAGCAGGCGCCTTTATAGACTTTAGCCCTAGGTTCAATTTAGAAACTTGTCTTTGGCTACAGAGAAGAGGAATTCCAATGCTGCCACCTGGCAGCACACATTCTGCAGACTCACTTGGGAGAGGAGTCACCTCTAACAGGATCCCCCCCACCCCAATCACCGCATCTCCTAGTACCCATTCGCTTGTGTGATTTCGTTTATTCTAGATGAAGGCTGCTCTCAGGGACCACTCAGACATGTCAAAGGTCGCTGTGGTGGCTTAATGTATTGTCCCCCATAAGCTCATAGGGAGTGGCATTATTAAGAGGTGTGGCCTTGTTGGAATAGGTGTGTCTTGTTGGAGGAAGTATGTCACAAAGAGGTGGGCTTTAAGGTTTTATATATGCTCAAGTCTACTTCCTGTTGCCTACAAGATGTGAAACTCTCAGCTACTTCTCCAGCACCATGTCTGCCTGCATGCCGCCATGTCCCATGAAAATGGGCTGAACCTCTGAGCTATAAGTGTGCCACCACAGCTAAACGTTGTCCTTTGTAAGAGTTGCCGTTCTCATGATGTCTCTTTACAGCAACAGAAACCCTAACTAAGGCAAGATGGTCACAGAGTCTCTGTTTTCTATATACTGGGATACTCTGTGGAAAGACCCAGGTAGCAAAGAATTGATATGTCTGCCAATAACCATGGAAGATTGGAAGCAAATCCACCTTAAGTCAAGCCCAAAGATCAGTTCTGATCAATAACTTAGTCAAAAAACACCTTCAATCGGGGAACCTGGCAACCCCCCCCCCAAAGATTCCTAACTCATAGGAACAATGAAGTAATAAATGTTATTTTAGCCACTAAATTTTGGAGCAATCTGTTCCTTAGCAATAGAATGCCCATCTATCCCTGGATACTGAAACCACTGGGTCCATTTCCTATCGAGAAACTCCTGGGCTGGGGCTCCAGGGTAGAGAATGCTGCCTAGCGAGCTCAAGGCTCTGGGGTGCAGCTGGCACCGTAAAACTTTCTCACCTTCTAGTTTATGATACAACTCACCTAGGCAGATAACTTGCTGGGGCAAACTGACTTTATTTTTCTGGTGCTACACTGATACACATTTTATGGTCAGTTTTTGTGAGTTTTTATTATTTGTATGTCAGAATCCTCAGTCAACTTCACCATCACGGACTGTATCCCACTGCCTGTGCTCCACCATCACGGACTGTATCCCACTGCCTGTGCTCCACCATCACAGACTGTATCCCACTGCCTGTGCTCCACCATCACGGACTGTATCCCACTGCCTGTGCTCCACCATCACGGACTGTATCCCACTGCCTGAGACATTTACTAACTGCTCTCTTTTCGTGTACTCAGTCTCAAAAGGCTGACTGCATTTCATATTTTATAAGGCATCTCAATTCAGACTAACAGTTCAACTTGCCCACAGTCACATGGGGCTAGTGGTGTGTAAAGAACATTATGAACACACGGTCAGATCTGCAGATGAGGAAACTGTATAGAATGTGTATGTGAGCAAGAGTGTGAGCCTGTGCAGCACAGCGTGCGTACAGAGGTCAAAGGACAAGTCTGGAGTCCATTCTGTCCTTCCACCGTTGTGTGGGTGGTCAGGCTGGGCAGCGAGCACTTTTACCTGCTGAGCCATCTAGCCAGTCCCACATTTCTTCCTCCCCCCATCACCCAATATTAACTAGAATTTACTGAATAAAATTAGTCTGGGCTCAAAACAAGGCGAAACACCCCTCCAAGTTGGGAACTTACATGCACGGCTGACTCCTCTTTCTCCATCTTCTGGCATGTCTCCTTCTCTAAACCTGAAACAGAGAAAGTCATTTTTATACAGACTGCAAGGAGTGGCTTCCTTTGTTCCTGGTGACGACTAGGCAACTCCAGTGCACGCTTAGAACAACAGAACACAGAATGTAAAGATTCCTAGAAGGTGTGCTGGCTTTCTTGAACTCTACTGTTAAAAAGCCCACAGGCTTGCAGAGTTGGCCACAGCTGTCAACCCTCCAGCTGAAGGAATGGCAGGTCTGCCCCCTTGTGTCCACTAGAAATTCAGCGAACACTGAATCCTACTCTATTTCTAAATAGAGCACATTTAAATTCTGGCTTGGGAGGACACTCTCAATATAAGCCACGTAGCAGATAAAATTGCCTTAGTTCCAAGCTCATTACCGTCTAGCTGGGTTCCTTCCTATCGGGCCTACTTTTCCGGTATTAGGTGACATGGTGGGGAGCGGGGGGCGGGGGGCGGACAATGACTATATCCCTGGAGGAAGTTTAAAATTTAGAAAGGTACACAAAAAAAGCTTAAAAATCTTCTTGTTGCAACATTTGAATAGTCTAATGTAAACCTCTCCTGTCCGCAAGCTGACCATCTCAGGCATCAGATACAGTGCAGAAATGACCACAAACAGAAACTGAGGCAGTGGGGTGGAGGGTGGGGTCAGAGTAACTTGCTTGGTTCGGACTTTCTACCTGCTTTCTGGGGGTTAGTGACAGGTCATGACCTCCATTGTTCCCCTTCTCTAAATGTATGACTGTCCACAAGAACAATTTCAGTAGGAGTTGGAGAGATGGCTGGGTGGTTAGGAGAACACACTGCTTGCACAGGTTCCTAGCACCTGCGCCGTGTCAGGAGGTGCGCAACAGCCCAGAACTCCAGCTCCAGGGGACCCGAGGCTTCCGGCCTCCACAGGTACCTGTGTTCACATGCACATACCTACACCATACAGACAGCCATTTTTAAGCTGGGTGCGGGGGTCTGATGAGAATAGCTCCCCATATATCTGAGAGCTTGGTCCCCAGTAGGTGGAACTGTTATTTGGGAAGGATTAGGGGGTGTGGTCTTCTTGGAGGAGATGTGTCACTAGTGAGGTTTAAAGCCCATGCCATTTCCAGTAAGCACCCCCTCCCCGTATCTCTCCCTCTCGTCTCTCTCTCTCTCTCTCTCTCTCTCTCTCTCTCTCTGTGCTGTGCTGTTACTGTCTCAACACGGAAGCTCTCTTCTGCTTCTCGAGTGCCATGTCTGCCTGCTGCCATACTCGCTACCATGAGGTCATGGACTTCAACTTTTTGGAACCTTGAGCCCCTAAATTATATGTTTTCTGTCTTGTCACAAAAATAGAAAAATAACTAAGAAGAACAAGTATGAGGACGTGTTTTCTTGCTGTGGCAGACCTGACTGTGGGGTGGGGGTGGGTGGAGGAATGCAGGAGACTCTGGGACTTTGAACTAGGAAAGTGGTTGAACATCACTGTAAAGGGGATTTGGCCATCTAGTAGGAGCTTGGACAAGAACAATGCTGGGCACAGTGTGGACTATGGAGGCCCAGCTCAGAAGGTTTTAGAAGAAACAATATTAGTAGCTAGCCCAGATACCACTCTTGTGATATTAGGCAAAGAACATGGCTATTTTTGTCTTTGTTGTAAAAACATGCCTGGGGGTAAACTAAGTGTTTTGGATTAATTTCACTGGCAGAGAAAATTTCAAGACAGTCTAATACTGACTACGCCATGTGGTTATTAGCGACCCCTCTTACGTGGATCTACAATGAAAAAAGAGAAATGGGGGCAAAAAGAAATGCAAAATGTATAGATTGGGGAGAAAAAGAGCACCAGGAAATGCAAGCAGCAGAATCTGGCATCAACAGGCAACACGGTCCTAGCGTCAGTAAGGATACAGGAGTGAAGGGGCTGTACACTCTCCCTGCAAAGTTAAGGAAAGTCATGAGGTAAAATGTACAGCAGGGAGTCCCTGCACGGAAGCTCCAAGAGGCTGCTATGGGAAACAGTAAAGGTGAAGCCCAGAATGCACTGGAGACTTTAAGATGCTGGAGATGCCTCAGGCATGGGCTCTCTAAAAAGGAGCGCAGCAGAGAGTGGAACCAGCCTGGAAGTGTGTTGCAGGAGAAGAGCCAGGACAACTCCAAAACACCACATGCAGGACATATTTGCAGGCCACTCGAGGATTCCGTGCCGATACAAAATGATAGAAAACTTCAACCGGCATCTCTTGGGCACCCGCCCCACTCCTCCCCATGTCCACCCAGGACTGTGCTAATAAGCACATCTGCGTCTCTTCCAGTAAAGAACAAACACAGATCTGCACCTGAAGTATCCCTCGGGTGACTGCCACAGGCCTTCCGGCATGCCTTTGCTTTTGTACCGGCTTCTGAGGATGAAGATGCAAGGCTTATGGGAGACACGGGAACATCAGAGCATCCCCAGGACTCCGGGCCTTCCCCTGGCTCACCTTTCACCTCTGCCCCGGCTGGTTTCTGACCGCAGGATGTGGACGCCAGCTTCTCCTCATCGGTAGCGTGGCCGTCCCTGTTAGAAATGTCCGAGATCTGCGAGATCACAGCCCCTTCATCCTGGGGAATGCAACAGAGAAGAGATTGTCCTTCAGAAGGGCAGTCATGGAGACCAGCGACATTTCTAGAGCAGAGCATGCAGCTGTGACAGAGTGAGGCTATTCAGGGCTCGCCACAGGTCCAACCCAAACCTACAAAACCAGGAGAAAGCTTCAGTCTTTCAAACGCGCAATGTTGTTTCTAGAACTTCACTTCTGTGGCCCGGGCCTGCAATTTTAAAAGTTATGCTTTTCTAACCTAAGCATGAAAGTTTAAGCACTTCAAGGGCTCTGAGGTCAGAGATCCATTTTTCTTGCATATAATCCCCCTCCTCGGTTCAAGTACACTCGCCGCACCGTGCAGTACGAAGTTCTTAGTCACAGTCAAGAACTTTCAGAACAAGGATTTTTAATAATGACCAACTCTTTCAGGGAGCATACTGGAATAACCACAAATGACATCATCAACACCTGCATATTCTGAATACCAACCTGACTTACTGTAACTCAGTTACTCTGTTGATTCGATACCCTACCACCCACTTCACACTCCTCAGACAAGTCCTCCAGCAGCCATAACTGGACGGCATTTTCTCCCTCCGAATCTGGATGCACTCCACGTCCACCGAGAACTTATCTCACGGAGGGAGGAGTTGGGGGGAATGGATAAGATCAAAATACACCGTGGATGTGTAGAAACTGTCAAAAACAGATAAAATATTCGCTGGAGCTCGCCCACCCAGCAAGGCTGACTGGCCAGCAGGCTCCGGGACACCCTGCCTCCCCAGGGCGAGGATGGCAGGCATCACTGCCACTCCTGGCTTTTTTCAGAGGTGCTGGGACTTGAACTCAGGTCCTTATGCTTGCACAGCAAGCAATTTACCAGCTGAGCTCCAGCCCTAAAAAGTTTTTTTTTTTTTAAGGTCTTTAACTTCTCTGTTTAAAAATACCACATCCTCTTTCATTATAAGTCTCTGAGGCTGGTCCCCTGCCTCCCAGGTACTAGGACTCAAGCCCTGGGCCACTGCACCTAGCTGGATTTTTTTTAAAAATATTTATTTATTATATTTATTTATTATGTATACAATATTCTGTCTGTGTGCATGCCTGCAGGCCAGAAGAGGGCACCAGACCCCATTACAAATGGTTGTGAGCTGCCATGTGGTTGCTGGGAATTGAACTCAGGACCTTTGGAAGAGGAGGCAATGCTCTTAACCACTGAGCCATCTCTCCAGCCCCGCTGAATTTTTTTTTTTTAACTGCAAAGAAATTTCACAGTTTGTGTTGCCTGCTTTGGTAAAACTTGAGGATTTTTTTTCACATATTTGTAAAGAAGAATTTGTATTGTCAAAGAAGAATTCCAATTGCAGACCCTAACGCTCCTTTCAAAGCACCTTACACTACAGTTGTTGGTACAAATGCCACAGATAAACTTAACTGCATCCTATTAACCTGCACGTGTGTTTCTATAATCACAGTTACGCTGAAATAAGGCTTCAAATAATAAAAAGATGAAATCACAGACCTGTGCACTCTGGTTTGGGGTTTTTTATTTGTTTCTTAATTACTCCATATATTCCTGTATGTATATCATTAACCACTAGGATAAAATAAGAATCAGTACCAATTTAATTTCTGGATTCCATCTTTATAATTATAATCAGGAGCAGCATTCAAAGCCACGATAAGATCTATTACTGAATTAAGATGAAGACTCTCTGAACCCTCTTCCAGGTTCAATGCCTAGTCTCTCTCAGACTTATTTTCAGGACCGCCATTTTGTTGAAGGCAACAAATCGGAAAGCCACCCGAGCCTTAGTAAGAATAAAAAGAAAAAGCTATCTCGTCCGTTATCAGAGTCAGCGCCCTTTATAGAACTGCCACCAAAATGTCACAGCATCTCTGGTGACCTGCGCACTGTGCTGAAAACAGCGGAATATGCTGCCCCACCCCCCACTTGAAGGCCATTGGGAGAGTTGTCTTTTCTTTATTTTTCTTAATGATTTCCTTTTATTTCAAACGCATTGGTGTTTTGCCTGCATGCATGTCTGTGTGAGGGTGTCAGAGGCCCTGGAACTGGAGTTACAGACAGTTGTGAGCCGCCACGTGGGTGCTGGGAATTGAACCTGGGTCCTCTGGAAGAGCAACCTATGCTCTTAACTGCTGAGCCATCTCTCCAGGCCCCCAGCCTTCCTGAATGAGTTTAGGGCACTAAAAATCTAAAAATTGGTTTCCTTAAGTCTGACTCCTCAGACACCCCCACAGGACAAAACCCACTCTGGCGACCAGTACAGACTTACCTGAGAACACGTATCCAAATCAAGAGACTGAGTTTCGTATTTCTTCACCTTGCAGCCACTCCTAGAAATGAGAGGAACAGACAAGCCAGGTTGGAATCCCAGCAACAACTCTCCAGGCATGAGATGGAACAGAGCACAGGGTGGAGGGCAGAAGCCAAAGCGCATAGCACCGCGATCAGACATTTGCATGGGAGAGCTGTGGAGACGATGCAGACCCTAGAGACCCACGGCCCGGCTCATTCTCCCGCAAGACCACCTCACTATGGGTTGCCAGATATCCCGCATGTTTAATTACATACCACAAACAAACAAACAAAAAGGCACCTTTCTGAGACTTAAGTACTGCTAAGAACAGCCTGGGCAGCTAGAGACTGCGGTTAAGACCTTTATTCGCTTGGCTTTGACGTTCACCAGAAGAATCACCACGCTAGACCAGAGTCTTTGAAAAAAATCTTTATTGCACTAAAAACCACAGAACTCTCCAAAGACAGCTCCAGTCTAGGCCTAGGCACTTACAGAAAGGAGCCTTGGCCAAGAGAAAGTAAAAAGAAACAAATTGTTACCATCCGGAAGTAGTCAAATGGGAAGGGGGGAACCAAGGTACAATGCCCAGAAGTGAGGAAAGCTTAGCCATCTGTTACTTTCAGACTAGTACATAATTTGTAATCACAGGACTATTACAGATTCTTCTGTTTTAAGGAACTTAAAATATTCAGAAAAAAACCCACAACCATTGTGACCAACAAAAGAAAAACAAGCATTTCCGATTTGTTTTCTTTTCATGGAAGAAAAGAGAAAACACAGACAAGTATATAAATTACCAGAGTGTACAAGGTCACTAATTCGTGGTCTTCTTCACCCACTGTTCTAAGTGTCCACCAAAATTAAGTTTACTTGGTAAAAGTTATTACCTGCTCTAAGACAGCAGCCTTATTCTACCAATAAAACCAGTCTAATTGTTTGAACAACAGTGAGCGGCGGAGCAGGCCATCAAATCACTGCTGAATGACCAGGGCCAGGCCAGCTTTGGCTCAAAGTGCTACGAGACACATGCTGAGTAAGCCAGGGCACACGCTTTTTGCACCCAAGGTGGAAAAAGCAATATCCAGTCCTTTAGGTCCAGACAATTGCAAGGCTAAGCTGACTAAGATGTAGCAAATGAATCGCAATTTGAGAAGGTCAGACAGAAGCTAACATGCGGGGACAGAGGTGGTGGTGGGGGGGGGGGGACTAAGAGTCCCAGGGACAAGCAGGACCTACAGAAGTACTTACAACAGAAAACAGAGAAATTTCACTTGCTCAGTAGTCCTGATGCATCAACAAAACCAGACAGAGAAAGACACACAGATGGAAGAGAGGCATGAGAAAACCGGAACGTTTATCCTTTGTCTGGTAGATGTAAAAGTTGCAGAGTCCCTGATATCACGTGACACACAAATTAAAAACATCATATTCAAGCCCGGCATGGTGGTGCCTGCAGGCAGACCTCTGGGAGTTCAAGGCCAAGCTGACCTACAAAGTCAGTTCCCAGCCAGCCAGGGTTGGGCAGTGAGACCTTGCTTTAAAACAAACAAAACGCCAAAAACAAAATATTAAAATTTTTATATAACAAGTTATATTCGTGAACGTTAGCCCTGGCGAATGAATGACAAGACCTCAGTTTTAGCGAACTAGAGAGAGATGCAAACACTGAGAAATGCTCTGGGTTCAGACTCAGAGATGACAAGTGAGGCCCTCGTGCACGGAAGTGTGCGGCACATAGAAACAGCGCTGCTCTCACTACTGGGCACACTCACCCTGACTGTGAAAGACCAGGTAAACAGCAACACCTGAACAAAAATACAGGTGGAAAGACACCTGGCCTGCCCCACCAGCAGGGTTACTAAGCAACTTAGGTGAGCCAAGCATGGTGCAAAATGTCTGTAACTCAGCGCTATGCTGGCTAAGGCAGGAGGGTGCACAGTGACAGGTTAGCCTGAATTTTATACTGGGAGACTCTGCTTTCCCATCATTTGTATGATTTGCTCTGCAAAATCCTAACCGTCTTGTACTGTCTCTATTTAAATACACCTTCTTGGATGTTCCAAAAAAAACTGAGGAGCCACTGTGGATGTTAACTATGCTTTAGTCTTTTCAAAAGTGGAGGCCTCTGCTCCTCGGGTCCCAAAACGGCCCAGGAGCTCAAGCACTCTTTTCGTACAAGACAAGAATTCTGCCTGGGTACAATTTTTTTTTAAATAAATTTGTGTAATCTATTGGACCAATAAACTCACTCCACAAAAATGGAAGAGTAGAAAGCGCCACCAGGTGAAGATGGCAGGACTCGAGAGTTGGCATTTCTTGGTTCTAAACACTAGGGACAGAGTTGGTGTCTCCTTCCTGAGCCCAGGTCTCATCTTAGAGTGAGATCTCGCCTTCAGCCTTAAAGACTATGGCGTGGGCAGGCATCCAGGAGTGAAGCACCTAGGGAGCAATACCCCCAGATGAACCCCAAGTGCTGCCCAGACATGAAAGCCAAGAGAGGTCTGCACGAACAGACAGTGACAGTGTCCAAAGCCCATTTAATTGCTCCTGTGTCACCCACGAGCAAATTTAGGGCTCCTGTCCTTTATTTCCCCCAACAGACCAGCAACACTCATGACTGATTGTTAACTTTCTTGAAATTAGTATTTCTACTCTTTAACCCTCTGGATATTTTTCTTTCCTGTGCAATTCTTAATCAGGTGGTTTTAAGACACAGTAATTGTTGAAGAGTATTTCCTGGGGCTGGAGAGAAGGCTCAGATGTTAAGAGCAGTGGCTCCTTTTCCAGAGATCCCAGGCTTGGTTCCCAGCACCATGGAGACTTACAATGGTCTGTAACTCCAGCTCCAGGGGATCTGATGCCCCCATCGGCCCTCTGCAGGCACCAGGCATGAAAGTTGTACATAGACATACACGCAGGCAACACCCCCAAATTTCCCTAGCCAATCTAACGACAACCACAAACGCACTTCCTTTCAGAATGTTACCTCCGTGTCACTGGCCCCTCGCATCTAGTTTTCCACAAGATGTCACAGGGTTATAAAGAGACTGTCTTTTATTCAACTTGAGTTTCTTGGTAATGTAACTCTGTATCAAAATTAAAAATTTGACATGGAATATGGCCTGAGGGATTACTCTGGGAACTCCTACACTAAACAAAGGTTCATCCCTGCTTCCCCAGGAGAAGTAGGAGGTAGAAGAACACAACACATTTACCCAGATTTTACTGGCCATTTAGAATACTCTCAGTTCTCAACACGGAAATCCGCTAATGAACTAGAAACACACAAGGAAACAAAAATTCTCATCATCAGCACCACCACCAAAAGTCACACCTTTCGGTTCTAGAGGACTGTTCCGGGCCATTTCTGGCAGCACTGACCTTAGACAGGTAACTATGGGATGTAAAGATGGTAGCTGATACCGATACTCGAATTATAGGTACAGTGTGATTTCTGGAAACCTCAAATCTTTACTTGATTTCTTTCAAGTGATTTTTTAAAAAAAGTATCCCGGGGAGGGGTAGGGGAGATGACCTGAGCAAGTCAAGGATCCAGAGATGAGGCGGAAATCGACCAGGAAACTTCTGGCGCTTCCAAAGGCACAGGAGAGGTAGGCAAAGACTACAGAGTGAAGTGCCCCCCCTCGGACCTCACACATTCATGGTCGCAATTCACAGAAACCAAAAATAGCTGCCAGCCTCCCAGAGAACACACCAGAGCACCACGCCCAGCACCCGCTGTCACTCACGTTATTAAACGCGACTTTGCCTTCTTGGGTGAGTCTAAGATTTCATTAACATGATTACCAGTGGGAGAACAAAAGGTGCTGCTTGTCAAAGCTGAGGCTGGCTTAAAGGGGTCCGTGGATTCGTCAAAGTGGTAGGAGCCTTTGGAGGAGAAGGGTGGCGAGCTCTGCAGACCGGGGCAGCTCCCGGGAGAATTAACGCTGGGGTGGCCCCATTTACTAGGGTCTAGCTTAGGAGACGTCTGGGAGAGGCAGGCATCTTGGGCTCTTGGGTCTGCAGGCTGTTCGATACCTACTGGCTGGCTGATGCCATCTTTCCGTACGTTGGGCGTCAGTTTGTTAGTAGGCTTCCTCGGAAGGGCATGCTTGGTCTCAACATCTTCCCCGCCTTCCGTAAAATCATACTCAAGCGTGGGAGGCAAGTTCCTGGACCCCTCCTGCAGCTCAAGCCCTGAGCCGCTGCTGCCATTACTGAGAGCATCCACAGCTTCTTTGAGGTAAACGGAAGTTTTCTGGGCCCTGGCACCTCTCAGCACAGTAAGATGTGTGTTCTTATCCAATTCATCAGGAGCCGACAGGGAGGAAGCCTTAGGAAGAGGTGACCCCTCCATGATGATTTCGGTTTCAGAGGCATCACCTCCGGCTGTCTTCTTCCTCGGGGAGACAGGTTTGGGCTTTCTTAACTTGCTCCTGCTGGTCACCGGCTCTCCAGTCTTCAGCCCGGCTTCTGTAAAAGCCTCAAATGTAGCCCCCATGCCTCCTTCTGTCACTGGCTTGTCCTGAGTGGCTTCTGATGCAGCGGAGGACAAAGCCTTGCCTGAGAGCGCAGGTCCACAGCCATAGGCAGCTTTTATTCCTAGAGCCGCTGGGTCATCTGTGGGACTCCTGGTTTCTATTGAAAATGGCCTCACTACTGAGACCTTACTAACTTCATGTTTGGTTTCTCCTTTGGCATCCCCATCCCCGACTGAGTGAGCATCAGAGGTCGTCTGTGGTGCATTTTCTGAAGATCTAGAACATGGATCAGGTGAACACTTTTCGATTACTTCTGCTATGGACTGTTCAGAGGTTTCTTGTGATTCTAGAAAAGGAGAAGAAAGAAAACTATTAAAGAATTCTTTCCACCACTGGTACAGAGTCTGTATGGTGTGACTTTATCATAACAAGCAAGGCCTCCTACTCTTAGCTCAGTCGTGATGATCTTTAACAAATGCCTTTAATCCCAGCACTTGGGAGGCAAAGGCAGGTGAATTTCTATGAGTTCAAGGCCAGCCTGGTCTACAGAGTGGGTTCCAGGATAGCCAGAGCTACATAGAGAAACCCTGTCTGGAAAAAAAATAAAACAACAACAAAAAAACAAAAAAATCCCAAATATTCTTTGACTAAAACATAAGCCATTAAGAATTGTCATTTTTTTCCCCTTGTAACATTTATCTCTAGACTAGGACAATAATCCATAATCCCCTCGACCATCTGTAAACAAAATTTCTTAATTTTGGTTTTACAGAAATATGCAAACTTACTACAAGGGCATAAGTGGGGGAATTTCAAACACAAGCTAAGTGCTTCCCTGACTCTAACATGAGACAATCGTTTATCAACAGAAACTGTTGATCCTCCTGCCTCAGTCTCTCCCCTGCTAGAATCACAGGTACACACAGGAGAGCCCTGCTCTCCCTCACTTTCTCAGACTGTAACCGCACAGGGACTTCTCAACTGTCCTCCAAAGATGCTTCAAATATTCGGCAAATGGCATTAAGGCTGTATTTAGCTATAAACACTATAGAGAAGCTTTTGATACTAGTCATCAAACATTTTCTTTATTCCCAAAGAATTTTTGTAAAAAGAAACCAAATGTGGCCAAATCTTGGTAAGCCCACCCTGGAATGTGTGGAAGGAATTCACCGTACTGTTATCCTACGGCCTTAAGCTTTTTTCATAAACTTTATTATTACAAAAGCCTGCAAATAAAAACCAAAACACCCCCAAATTAACTAGTTCCTACGTCTATACATCTCAGTGAGCCAATACATTTAGCACAGCCATTCAGAACTGGGGCTTCACATTACGTTTCACACATCCACTATCAAAAAGATTTTTATGCATTTATCCGTCAGCAAAAGCAAAAAAAAAAAATCTGTAACAAAGTTAGAACTGGGGAAACAATTAGCTTTCCATTTGAAGACGAGGAGGAGGAGGAGGAGGAGGGACTGTATTATACACGGATTTCTCGGGAGAGTGGTCTAAGTGTGCCGGCGACTTCACTCAGGCACACGGTGTCCTCGTGCCGATACTGTGGGTTTATTATGGATTGTTCAACTGAACAATGGGAAGGGAAGGGAAGACACCTCGAGTTGAATGGGCATGACACGTTCCGGCAGAGGCAGGAGCATCACTGTGAGTTTAAGGGCAACCTGGCCTACACACTGAGAGTCTTCCTCAAAATTCAAAACCAAAGAAAACAAAAACAAATTTTAAAAAAAGGGAGGAAAGAAGTGAGGAAGCAGGTGGGTGAGACAAGCACCCAGGACTGTATCTGTGGGTGTGCGTGAGAGTGAGGTGAGATTTTTATTTTCAATTTATACTTATTTATTTGTTTATTTTTTTATTGGTTTTTTTTTTTTTAAGACAGGGTTTCTCTGTGTAGCCCTAGCTGTCCTGGAACTTGCTCTGTAGACCAGGCTGGCCTTGAACTCAGAGATTCACCTGCTCTGCCTCCCAAGTGCTGGGACTAAAGGCGTGCACCATCACCACTCGGCAGCTGAGATTTTTTTAAACAATACTTTTAAATATTTCAATGTACTTTTCACAAAAAGATTTAAATTCGTGTGGAATCACTTCATGACCATTTTTGAAAATTTACATTTTCAAAATTTAAAAAAAAAATGAGATGAGGAACTGGAGCGAAGGCTCAGCAGATAAGAGCAGTGATTGCTCTTCCAGAGGACCGGGGTTCAATCCCCAGCACCCACAGGGCAGCTCACAACTGTGACTCCAGTGCCAGGGGACTGACACACTCAGACATATATGCAGCCAAAACACTATACATACAAATTAAAAAAAATAAGTTATTTTTTAAAAAGCAGAAGAACTGCTCGGGACGTTTAGCAATTCGACTTCACAACACATTTTCCCCTATCCTTTCAGACTTCTGAACGAGGTGTCCTTCCCATGAGGCAGTCGGAAGGGCAATGAGTGGGGAGAGAAAAGGGAGCTGGGAAGACAGAAAAGGAGCTTCCTGCAGAGTCCTGCAAACCTTGTCAAAGTCGGCTTTACCTTGAGACACAGGCTGTTTTAAATAATTTACCAGCCGCCATGTGGGAATGGAACGTACTGGAAGGAGCTGAAAATGAACAAAGCTGTAATTTTCTGGGGTTTCCAGGAGAGTGTTGCTCATTAACAGAAAGCTATGTAACACTTGGGAGAAAACGAGCAGGTGAGATTGGTGAGGCCCGGTGACAGACCGGATATGGGCTGGGGTGGGGGTATCACAGGCCGTCTGTGGCTTGCGCTTATCAAACTGAAGTTAGGTAGGACGCTCCAGTGAGTTTGGGAAATGCCGAAGAGGTTGCCTGCTAACGCCAGTGAGTTTTGCCTAAGTTTTGCTCTTAACCACTGAGCCTTCGCTCTAGTACCTCATCTAACTTTTTTTTTTAATTTTGAAAATATAAATTTTCAAAAATGGTCATTGAGTGTTTGATTGAAAGTGAGACCCCAGCCCGGCACTCATCCTTGGAGTGCCAATGGAGCAGCAATGGAGCAGGAAGCTCCATTTCTAGGTCCCTCCCCCTGGGAGATGCCTTGGTCCAGACCCCACCTCCAGGGTCAGGGCCACGCCCACAGGCTATTTAGGCTGCGGCCCAGAAAGGGAGCATGTGGTCTCCCCAGCTCTCTTACCCTCACCACGCTTACCCAGGCCACCTGGGAGCGCTGCATTAAACTTGGGCGTCTTTTATTCGGTCTAATTTGGTCTGACTGGAATTATCTGCGTCGGCCGAGAGGCTTGTCTTAAGAAATATACCTAACAATGAGGTGATTCCACACAAGTTTAAATCTTTTTGGTAAAAAGTACATTGAAATATTTAAAAAATATTGTTTAAAAAATATCTCAGCTGGCGCACACCTTTAATCTCAGCGCTTGGGAACAGGCAGATCTCTGAGTCTGAGGCTAGCTTGGTCTACAGAGTTGAGTTCCAGGACAACTAGGGCTACACAGAGAAACCCTATCTTGAAAAACAAAAATAAAGAGATAGATAGATAGATAGATAGATAGATAGATAGATAGATAGATAGAAAGAAAGAAAGAAAGAAAGAAAGAAAGAAAGAAAGAAAGAAAAGGGGCTGGAAATGTTTTTCTCATTGAAGCCATGGCTATAGATATCTTTAAAACAACAACAACAAAAAACCACATTGACTACTATTCAAGTCCAAGCAATCGCCACCCACACTTTCACTTTGAGCTCTAACATATTTAAATCCAAATTGTTAAAACAGATGTCAGTTCTTAAAAGTTTACTTTAAAAGGTCAACCCAATTTAAGACCTAAACTTTGCCTTTTTAAAGCAGGTATGGTACTACCCATGGAAACAGACCAAGGGCTGCTGTGAAGCGGCTGCCTGCCACCTGCTGCGTTTTCCTGTCACCCAGGACCAGATCAGCAGTCTGGTTAAGGACAAAACACTTAAAGCAGCATTTGGGTATCACAGGAGCAGTGGACGAGGGAAGGAAAACACAGTACGGAGCACCCTCACCCAGCCTCAGCCTCCAGCCTCCAGCCTCCAGCCAACTGAAGGAGTCTTGCCAAGGAACATTCTCCTCCCTGGTCATTCCTATGCCATCTCTGTGCATGTGCCAAGTAAATAAACCCGCCCCTTCCTTCATCTAGGCACTATAGACTACCTCCAACTGTGCATCTCCATCTCAGCGCCAGTAAAACATCTTCACTGGGTAGTGAGAGTATTAATTGTCAATCAAGCAGCTTGTGAAGCTGTACAAATATAAAAACAAACATTAAAAAATTGTCAGCTAGGCCATGCCTTTAAACCCAGCACTCTGAGGAAGAAGCAGGCTCTGGATCTGAGTTCCAGGTTATCTCCAGGGCAGCCAGGGCTAGGCAGAGAAACCTGTCTCAAGAAAAAACAAACAAACAAACAAAAAACAAAACAAAACAAAAACCCTCTCTTTGAAAAGGCAAATTTGTTGAAGTTTCATTCACACCTACCACCAACTGGCGAGTGTCCCAAGAGCAGCTGCCCAGTATAGCTACCTCTGGCCCAGGACAGAAACTTCAAGTCTAACGCCACCTCCCTCTCAGAGATGAACAAAACATCTGCTACCCCATCTCAAGCCAGTGTTAGCCAGAGATTCAGCCTTGCTTCGCCTCTGAAAGCGCCCTTATATAACAGCTGCCTTCCACTCACACAGAACCCCCGGCATTCCTTGAGAGTGCAGAAGCTCCTTCCCCAGAGCCAGTGTGAGCACTGAGCGTGACAAGGTGGGCTCTGCCAGGCTGGGGGAATGCAGTCGCTAGGAATGGATCAGGGAGAAATTCCTAACAAGCACAGAGGAAATCCAGAACCAAGGCGCGGCCGCCTGCGCTGCACATTTGCTGCTAACAGAACTCCTTCAGGATGAAGAACTGTGAACCCCTGTAGGCCCATATTTCTATATGGTGTGGCAGCCAGGCTCTGAAGCCGTAGGCCCCATCTGAGGTGGGCACGTAGCCCTGCAGACAGGCTGTCACTGCCCTAACAAAGGGTCAGGATGTTGTTGCTCCTTTCTTTGTAATTTGGAGGATGCCTGATAGAGATGCTGATTCAAGCCAACAGACAGCTTAGCAGAACAGACAGGTAGATGCGGACGTGACAAAAACCATTCACTGGTTACCTAGGAGACAGAATGCTGGTTGGTGTATTTCCCACTCAGTTTATGTTTTGGTATAAAAGCTGTTTGGAGAATAAATGAGAGGACATCTTCAGGATGTGAACTAAGGACTTCATGAGGAATTGCTGAGAATCTCCCTCCCGATAAAACCATGAGTTGTAGAAGGCTGCAACCACACTCTCCACCATAGATGGCGCT